ATGCAATTTGCAGCAACATGGATGGCACTGGAAGGGATCATGCTCAGCGAAATAAGCCAAAAAGAAAAAGAAAAATACCGGATGGTCTCACTCATAGCAGGAATCTAGAAAACTTAAATAAGGGACCAGGAAAATGAATATAAGAAAGTGAAAATCAAAATCAACAAAAAACTATGAACCAGAGACACTTTTTGGGGTGGGGGGCGGGAGGGGAAGGATTGGGGTCAGAATGGGGCGTTTGCAATTGTATGGGGGAATATAAAAATAAAATTTAATATTAAAAAAAAAAAAAAAAAAAAAAAAGAAAACTTGTGAAGGCAATAAATATGTTTATAATATTGATTGTGGTCTTGGTTTCATGAAAGTATATTGTATACTTGTCTCCAAACTCATTTAACAGCATGCATTAAATATGTACAGCTTTATGTATGTCAATCATGCCTAATAAAGTACTTGTTTTAATTTAAAAATACCTCAAATCCACAAAGAATCAGAGAATTCTTCCCATGGGGAAAAAAACATTATGTCTCATAAGGGGTAAAAGAATGTCATTAAAACAATCTGAATAGAGAAAGATAGTTTCCTATCTGATGTGGAGACAGTCAATTCTTATATACAGTCAATTCTTTTCTTCTTTCTTGTGGTGCAAAAGGTCTTTGAGAAGATCCTGTCAGTTCAGGAGAATATAAAGTTAATAATAACAACTACCACAACAGGAACGACGACTTTGGTTGACACCCATCTGCTGAATAAACACTGTGGTATGAGCTTCAGGTACATTGCCTTAATTATCACAAAACTCCATCACATATTGTTTATTTATTAAGAATATGTTCTGAACATATGCTAGGGGCTACGGATACAGGGATAAACAAAATAGTCATGATCTCTGCTTCTGCAGAGCTTATGGGAAAATAGAAATAGACATTATACAAAAACAAATAAATACTGTCATGTGGAAACTCACACTGACCCCTTCAGATCAAGCGGTCTGGGAAGGTCACTCTTAGAAGATGATGTCTGTAAGCTGGATCCTAAAGAAAAACGAGGATCCAGACAGGCAGCAGAAGTTATGTGAGTAACTCTAACACAGAACACTTTCCTTTAATAGAGTTGCTGATGAAAGATTAGGTAAAAAGAGATAGTGGGGAACAGTAATGCTAGCTGGGGCTGAAGATGGGCCAGGTCATCCAGGCCATGGAGATGCAGCTTCCTTCTGAGTGCTCAGGGAGTTTGCAGGGGTTTAAACAGATAAGAAAAGGATCAGATTTATACTGAAAATTTCCCCTGTTGTGTAGAGTAGATGGGGGATGACAAGAGCAAAAGTTGGGGACAGCTGTTCAGAGTTTTTTGCCATGTTCCCAGGTTAGAGACAATGATGGCTGCATATAGGAGGGGGTTTGAAGACTTGGGAAAAAGTGAATAAGTCCAGGATATATACTTGGAGGTAGATCTGGTGATAGAGAAGCTGGAGTCAGGAAAACCCAGGTTCCTGGTTTGAGTAACAGGGTGGATATATTACCATTATCTAGGAGTCTAGGAGACTAAAGAAGTTAGTCTCAGCCCAAAGAAGTTAGGCAACTTGATCCAGGAGGTATGTCTCGTAAATGATGAATGAGGATATGGACCCATCCTCCTGGGTCATTCAGCTGCAGAGATAACATGTAACCACCACATGGTCCCCTCTTCCAGTGAGTCATAATCCTGCTGCTTTCCAAAAGGAGAGGCACAGCTGAAGTATCATCTCTGTCAAACATAACTCCATTTGCTAAGTTTCCATGGAGAAAGTCAATATCCAAGTGTGTTATCTGAAGCATGTTTGGGTCTGCTGCAGATTACAATATGTTATTTGGATGACATGTTGGAAAACTGTTATTCCTTAGATTTTGACGTAGGTAAACAGGTGCATATATGGTGGTCTGGAAGCAATGATCCTGGATATTCAAATTCTGTTGCTTGGCAGAGACCAAGCTCTGTTCTCTCGTGGCATCAAGGGAAGATGTGTCTTTCCTGAATTCCTTTCAGGTCCTTCCACAGCTTACATGAAGCTGTCAAGAAATGGGTTGACTCTAATGGGAAAAAGAGGAAAATGAAGTAAGTTAATAAGAGCCTCAGGCCATACCTCATGGCTACAGAGGAGATCTGAAGAGCACCGGCAGGCACATAGAGCATTAACAGCAGAAGGTGGGGTTAAATTACAAAAGTAAATAGGTTGAAAACTCAATTATACATAGTGATCCAAAGATGAGATAACTTCTTGGTTATATTTTAGTGATGTTCTGAGACTTTTGCAGCTTGCTGGTATTTGTATATCTGAAAAAACCTTCTTTACTTTTACTTTATTTGCAAAGTCAGGTCTGAAGAGAAGATTAAGAATATAAGAGCGTGGGGCAATTATAAACTTACCTGTTTGGACTGATGAATTGTGGAGTAAATTGTGCTGGAACCATTGTTTTTTGGAGGTATTTGAATTTCTGTGTTCTGTAAAAAATAGTAATATCCATTTGGCTCACACAGGCAAAGGTAGTCATACATCTATACACTCCTAGGTGCAACAAGAGAATGCTGTCCTGTTCTTCAGGAGGAAGTCTAGGGAGTGTTAAGCAGGGGAATCAGGAGACCAAAAACTGTTAGCAAGCAAACAGTTAAAGGTTTAGTATCATTTCCTGAGCCCCAAAGAGTACAACCTCCCCTCCCCCTGCAAACCAGTACACTCAAGAGCCAGATAGAGCCTTTCTGGCAGCTGGTGAGAAGATAAGGCATTCTTGTGCTGTATTCAATTCTTTCCTTCCTACATTTTTTAGAACTGACTTTTATCCCAGATGATTATTGCATTTTATCTTCTGGCTCAATCAACTTTATTGGACTTCTGTTGCTTGGTGTGTTAAGAGTGATTCCTTTTGCTTCCAAAAGGAAGTTAGAAATGCAATATGAACTGAGCAAGTGAGAGCACCCCTTCTTGTTTGCTGTCTTTAAGAAGCCTCCTTTTTTGGATATCTGTGAGGGAGTTTTGCTTAGGGAATTCAAGATTTCTAGTTAGGCTGTTGCTTCCCTTAGTTGGAGAAGAGCCACTTGAGGGCTTATGTTTCAGAAGACATGGAAACTGACCTCCCAGGATGTATAGTGTTATTTAAAACATGCCACCTGCGGGTGCTTTATTTGGGGTAGTAGGGGAATTGCTGATGCATGACCAAGGAGTCCCTGATGCCTGACAAAGGCCATCCTGTTACATTTCGAGAGGGAAGGGGAGGCTGCTTGTGCTTGAGTCTTCTCTTGTGGAGTTGCAAATTCTTGTCCCCTGCCACTACTAAGGGATTACTTCTGAGTTGCCCCAAGTATCCTACATCCAGGGTAAGAAGCCCCCCCACCATGTACAGAATTGTCTCCTTTGGAAACTCTCAAACTTTGTTGATTGTCGTGAAAAGACATAGGGGAAGAGAGAGGAAGACATGACCTTCACTTACAGGCAACTTGGGATTAAACTGAAGGGACAAGACTCACGAAGGCATTGAGCATTCAGAGCGCAAGGCGAAGCTGGGCATGAATAAACCTTCCGCTGGGTTCCCTGTCTTGCTACCTTCTCTCTGTTTAATGGTGTCTGCCGTTTGGGTCAGTCAGCGGATTGTGGTGAAAGTTTGTACCTAGTGACTGTAAGAATAATGAAAATGGCGTATCTAGCTGGAAAGACTCACCCGATCTGAATGCATGACCTGGGCATACACGGTATTCCCCTGAGAGAATGACGCATACTCTGGGTTCCTCACATTCTCTGCTGTGAACACAGAAGGATGGTCAGTGCAGGGACCATCTTGCAGGACCCTGCCCACCCCTGGGGCACTTTCTGACCCCATAGAGGGAGTTGTTGGAGTCACTGCCCTCCTCAAGTTTCATTCATTTTTGACAGTTTATGAAATTCTGGTTTGAACCAAACTTTCTCAACCACGTGTTGAGAAACCATGTTCTGGCCTCATCTGGCAGGAACATGGCTTACAGTACCCTGACACTTCCAGTCTACTTCTGGACTCACATGTAGGCCAGGAAGCCCCCACCCCTCATGCCATGCAAGAACGGGAGAACCTAATTGGGAGCGAAATGGAGCCAGTCACATGCATAATGTGATTAAACTTTCTTGAGGTCCTAAGGTGGGTTTGACAAGGAACTGGAGGTTCAGAAAATTTGACTGACATTGGCACCTAGCTGCAAGGAAGCATTTGGACAGGATGCTTGCCTCTGGCTCCATGCCTCATCCCCTGCCCTCTACACAATGTCACATCCCTCTCCCCCTGAAACGATACTAAGTGCCAGTCTGAGTCCAGAGCCTGGGCCTTGTGTCTACATCATAGTTCTTCTCTGACCAGGTCCACCTACTTCCCAGCCTTGGCTGAGTGTGGTGGTAGGGCCAGCATTTTGTCTCTCTCTGGGTCTGTGATGCTCTAGTCCTGTCCCAGTGCTGGGCTTGCTGGGTGAGAATGAACAGGCACCATACTTGCTTATCCATCGGCGGGGTGAGAGGGACCCTAACTCAACCCAAGAAGCTCATGTGCTTGTGAAGGACCCTGTACGTCCCACAGGGACAGACATGTTTGGTCACAGATCATGTCCCCTGGCACTATTTGGTCCATCTGAGCAGTGGCATTCTGACCCCTCCTCTCAAGACCCTGTCCTCTGATCGCCCCTTTTCTCACCCATTTGATTTTCCCCACCCATTAACTGTGGGGAGCTCTGAGTTTGAAAACTCACCAGGATGCTGGGTTTGCTCAAAAGAGAACGAAAGTTCACCTAAAAAATAAAGTCAGGGACACTGAAATTTAAGGTTGTGGAAGGAGAAGCATCTGTACCCCCACGGGTGTCTCTAGAGGATGAGGTGGGAAGGAACCTCAAAGGGAAAGGCAGTCAGGTCCCAAGGTTGGGTTCTGCATGCCAGTGGCACTTCCCTCAGGAGATGAGCAGGTGTGTGGCCACAGCCCAGGGTGTCCCAGTGGATGTGGGAGCCAGGGTTTTCACATCCTCCCTCCCTTTATCTGTCTCCCATAGGATGGGCAAATGGCACCCACTAGCTCTGTTTCTGGAATCTTGGAGAAGACATAAGTAGGAAGAAAGGAAACATGCCTTTTTTCTTCTTAAAAAATAAGAAAAGAAAGAAGACTCCCAGCACCAAAACCACCAGCACAGTCAGGGATATGAGTATGATCCACGTGACCCCGAGGACTGGTTTTCCTAAAAGTCCTGAAAAGAGAAAAAAATTGCACTTGAGACATGAATGAACATTTTTCTCAGAAGCCTCAGCAGAGTCCCTTCTGCCTCTCCCCAGGCAGGCTTTCTGAGAGTGGGCTCTTACAGCAGACATGGGGCACACAGCCTGGGGGAGACCGGGAGGAAGAGATTCTGTACCCCTCAGGTCTTTGCCTTTGGGCACTGAGTAGGGTGTGTCCTCTCCCTATTGTCTCCCACTGGGGCATTGGTTTGGGATCACAGAGTGATGTGGGTGATGGTGTGAACACCCCACAGCAGCTCAGGGCTCCTAGAGAGACTAAGACAAACTGTCACCTTCACAGAGACTCTGGACAGAGACTGAGGAGGAGATGTTGCTGACGGGATTCTCAGCCATGCAGGTGTAGCTGTTCTGCTTGCTGGACTTCCAGGGGTCCCAGTAGACAGTGAGGTTTACTTCTTTTAGATTCATGTTTCCTGTCTCCTGCCACCCAAAGGAGACACTGTCATCTGGATTCTCCACAGAGCAGGTCAGGTAGACCTCACAGTTTCCGTTTTTAGACAGCTGAGTGTGGTTGGTAACATGTAAGTTACTCACTCGCCCTGTGTGTAGAGAAATATTCTGGAATAAGGACAAAAGACTTGACTCAGAATGTTGTCCCTCTCATGTTTCTGTATTACTGACCTTCTGCTACATGTTATGATCTGTAAACTCTGTAAATAACACAGCTACCTGGTTGGAGAGAGCTTTGGGTGACCAGTTGATGAAGGACATTGACATGATACAGAACAGCCAGTAGGGGGAAGAGGGGAGAGAAAGACCTGGGTTCCTATCAACTACTCAGATGATTTGGGTTGGCCACTTTTACTTTTCTGGCTCCAGTTTACCCCTGGGGTCCTTTCTAGCCTATGCACTGCCCAGTGTGTAAAGATACTTGGAGACTACCTGAATGTCCCCCACCCCACCTTAGGGTGAAAGCAGAAGACCAGGTAGAAGGGACCAGTGTCTTCCATCATGGGATTCCCTGGCTGGAGTTGAAGAGGGACGTTAACTTCCTTGGGCAACCATATTTCCACAAACTGGTGGGAATCCTGGTCCTCATTGCTGAGGATACTGGTTCCAATGATGACAAAGACCAAGATGGGGAAGATCAGCAAGACAGAAAGGGAACTGTGGAGAACCAAAGAATTAGGAAATGAAGATGTGAAGGAAAAGAGAGTAAGCAAGCAATTCTGGGGATCAAAGAGTTCAGTGTATTTGAGAAGACATGCATTGCTGGAACTTCTGAAAGCAAAGACCAGAAAATATTGCCTAATATGATATCAGTAACTGTGACTCTAAGGGAACATGGGAGAAGTACAAGAAAGGCCTTCCCTTGGCCTGAAGGTTAACTGTGACCCAGTGGTGGAGGACAGATGGACTCCAATGTCTGATCATAAAAGACAGTAAAGCTTTAAGCTAAGTTAACTGAGTAGGAGTCAGGAAACACATCTTGCCAAAATGAAGTTTTCATGTAATGGCAAGAGTGCTGGATTTGGGGTCAAGCAGACCTAGGTTAGAACCAAGGCTTTGTTATTTACTATCTACATCACCATGGACATGATGGTTTCACCCCTGTAAAACCTGGGCAACAATGCCTGCTTCTCAGGTAATTATGAGACTTAGTGAGACAGTAACACACCAATGGCAAATATTTGGCATGAATGTCATATGTCCGCCATCTATGTCCATGACTGACCTCAAACATCTATCTCGTTACCTTTCTCAACCTGATGATTATATAACTGCTTACTTGACATTTCCATTATGTATCTCAAACTCAATATTTTGAGAATTCTGTTCTTCCCCACTTTAATTGATAACAACTGTATTGTTCCAATTGCTCAAGTCAAAAGTCCTGGATTCAGCCAGGATTCATCTTTTCACTTCACAGCCCCACCTCAGGAAATCTGGTGGCTTTATCTCCAAAATATATTCAGAACACAACCACTTTTCACTCCCTCCATTGCTTTCACCCAAGTCCAAGCCAACCTCATTTCTTGCATGGATCACTGCAATAGCAACCTAATAGGTCATTGGCTTCCACCCTTGTCCCTTAAGTCTTTAAGTCAAATCATATTATTTATCGCAAAATTCTCTGATGGCTGTCATTCGTTCTGGAGTAGAAGTCAAAGTGATGCTCTGAGCACCTCACATGATGTGACCCCTATTTCCTGATGGGTCTCATTTCCTATTACTCTTTTCCCCTTACTCTATTCCTTCATGTTTGTTCTTTTCAACATTCCTTGAGCATGCCACCAGGCACAAAGAAGAGTCTGTCCTAGATGGATCTTCATCCGGACATCTGTGTGACTCACACCCTCACCTCCAACAGGTCTTGGCTCCAGTGTCATCTTCTCAGTGAGAAATATGATGAAATATGAACAGCATCTGTTTAGATTGCCCATGCTTAACAAATATTTTTGACTCAATGAATAAACATACCACGGTTTCAACATGTTTTCTTAACTGAATTCTAGACAGTTACTCCAGTTAATTGATATTATCCCATAAGATCAAATCTTTACCATGCCTATCCTGGTACAAAATAGTCATTGCCCAATGCTTTTATAAGCCTATGTAATTTCTTTGCACTTTTGTAAAGTATGTAGGTATAGCTTATACATCTCTTGGTGTATGTGTGCCTTGAAGGAGAGATTCCCCAAAGACCCTGAGAAAGTGTTGGCATGGAGCCTCAGGAGTGTGGCAGAAAAACATTATCTCAGCAAGTGTGATGGAGCCTGGAATGGAATCTGTCCTCAGGCTATCCACAGGGGTGTGTGTTTGTGTGTGTGTGTGTGCATGTGTGCGTCTAGGACTCCTAGATGAGATGAGTTGGAGTTATTGGGTGGGCCCTAAATCCAAAGATAAGTGTCCTTATAAGAGAAAAGGAGAGAGAAAATTGAGACAGATAGAAGAGGAGAAAAATAGAGAAGAAGAGGAGGCAGTGTGACTTTGGTGGCAGAGACTGGAACAATGCAGCCAAGGAACACCAAAGAATGCTGGCATCAAGCAGAAGTGGAAGAGGTGAGGAACAAATAGTCCTCCAGAGGGGTGAAGCTCAGCCCATGCCTGGATTTCAGGCTTCAGGCCTCCAGATTCAGAACAGGATAACATTTCTGTTGTTTTAAGTCATCAGATTTGTTGTCATTTGCTTTGTTTTAGCAGCCTTGGGAAGCAAATACATAGCCACAGGGTGATTTTGCTCTTTTAGTTGGCTTTCCTGTTCAGAACTTTTCCAGAATCCTCTTTTCCATCACATTCACCCGTACTATGTCCAAGTCTTTCAGGGACATGACTGACTGGGGTAATGTGGAACTGCAAAATATATAAGGAATACTAAAGATTAACATGTAAACCCTGTAACATGACATTTCATTTGATCAGTGGTGACCTGGTGACCTGGATACCATGTCTAAACCCAAAGGACTCCAGTGAAGTTTAGACACTGTGTGCTGGCCAGTAGATAAGAACTATGGACTCCCAAGGGCCTTTGAAGTTGTCTTATTTGATTGTTAACACTGTATCTCCTGCACAATTTCCTACTAGGTGATTATCTTAAGGCCACCCAAAGCATCTCTGTAGGTCACTGGTAGTGAGAAAGATTTTATTTCTAATTGAATGCATAATCCGCCTCATTATAGCTCCCATAATTTGATTTCATGTTGAGGTTATTTACATTCAACATTTGGGGAAAATATTGTTAGAAATAAAGTAATCTTAAGACGTTTCTCTTTCTCAGCACATCCTGGGGAACAATTCCCATGCAGACTACCACTCTGGACACTGACTGCTCCACTATGGGTCAGACTGGCCCTTGGGTACAGTAGTCATGTGGGACTCTCTCTCCCTGTGTGGCTTCTCTGTGGTTGTGACTGATGCTAGCTCAGGGGTGAGGCAGGGCCACCTGATGGGCCTTTCATGAGGATCACATGGCAGATGCATGTCAGGTACATGTAACAGAAATAGACATTTCACTGTTTTCACAAAATGCAAAGCCATATGAAGGGAGTGAGCAGGCAGAGAGACATAAGACTCAAGTTCTGCTCTAGCTGTCACTAACTGACCGTGCAACACCACGAGTTGCTTTCCTGTTGGACCTCAGTCTGACTCAGTGCCATGCACTTTCCTGCTAGGTGATGGTGCACAGTTGCAGTCACATAGAATGAAATATACAATATTTCTTAGTCCACTTATGAGTAAACCCCAAGCTTTGACTCACTGAAGATCTTCAGTGTGTAACAGGAAAACAATGTTTTGTTTGTGTTTATTTGGGCCTTGTACGATCCTGAGTCTGTCATCTTCAATTTGTTGAGCTGTAAGGAGTAGGACTTGGTGACGTTGATCCGATGTTTCATTTCTAGTTTAGTAATGGTTGGTGGTTTTTCTGGCGTTATGAAAATCATAGATGTTCCATCGTGGAGCCAGGTTACGGATTCGATATTCGATTCTGCAGGAAACCCCAAGGGAAGAGTTATGGACTCTCCCAGAACCCCGTTCAACTCCTTTGTGAATAAGTTGCATGGCAAAACCATATTCCCTGTAAACACAGAAGGAAATGGCTGTAACTCCTGCTGCCTTTCTCCCCACGCCCGCATCCTTTGCCCCAACTCTGCCAGTCTATTAGAGCTCTCTGACACTGAAGTCTAGACACATGATCAAGAGAAAAAGGGTAGGCAGTGTTGAAATGGATAATTTCAGACTCCACCCACAATAAAATGTATAAGTCTCTTGGTTAATGGGAAGTAGATTCAGTTGACCCTGGCCTGGTCCACCTTCCACACGGGCTGGTCACTGCTGGCTCATGACCACACTGTCAGGTCCCAGCTCCTGAGTTCTCTGAGCATGAGGTGGAGGGGAATAAGGACACCAACTCCAAAAACCACAAGTCTTTGCTGATGAAGGATAATTAAAGCTCAACATTTACGCATTACTTACTGTGTGTCCAATATTATAGTCTTATGAGATTTAGAGAGCTAATAATAAGATTGGGCACCAAGGATTTAGAAATGTTCACATGAACCAATGAATAACCATAACCTGACCTCAACATTCTTGAGATCTCAATCTCAGGAGAGCATTTGAGTGGGAGGATATGTCTCTCAGGACCTTGACGCTCAGTTCCTGGGAGTGCTCATGCTTCCTCTCTCTCCTGGATTATCATATGAATGCCAGGTACATGGACACTTCATCATCAATTACCTCATCATCACATCTTTCCCACATCTCTTATTTCCCACAGCTATTAGTAAACTGGACCCTTCTTCCCTTTTGGAAACTCATGAATGAATATCATAAGTAAAATCTGTAGCAAAAATATATCCAGACATAACCAGAACACAGAGGTATGATTCCATTTAATTAAGTCCAAAAAAGGAGAAAAGCAAATCTATGCTTTCAGAAGTCAGCAGAGAAGTTACCTGGGAGGAGGAGGGTGGGATATTAAGAACGAGGGAATATAAAGGAGAAATTCTAGGCTGTTGGTGATGTACCATTTCTTGACTTGTGTCTGGGTATGCAGGTTTTTATTCATTTTATGATTAATTCATTGAGCTGGCACTTAGGATTTGTATATAGTTGTCTCTGTGTATTATATTTCAGTTATAAAGGTTAATATGACAAGAAAAAACCAAATAAACCAGAATTATTACCATGGCCTAAAAGAGCTGAAAAAACTTAGTCACTTTTTTCTCTTTGACCTAATTTCCTAGAACTCCTCCTGTTATTCACTTTGCCAAACTCTCTGGCCTGGCTGTTCTCAGAACAGGCCAAGGTACATGTACTTACAGGTCTCTCTGCCCAGGGAATACATGCCACAGGCTCAGTCTTTCACCTCGATAACATCCTTCACAAGAATGTTTCCTTTAGGGAAGCCCTCTGAGATTGCTCTTTCTTCATGACCATGACATGAAAGCAAATATTTCTGTTTGTCTCATTCTTTGTTGTGGACAATTGGGAACATTGATTTGTGCATGTAGGTATCCACAGAATACTTTTTGAGTGAATGGACTCATCTTGGAGGTTTTCTGTCCAGAATTTAAAGACCAATTCTCTTTGTGAGTGAATCAAGGAGCCCCCTGGGAAATTCCTCCTTCATCTAGCATATTCCTAAATGTTCCTTTGTTTTTATGGATAGCAATTACTTATTTATTAAGTTGTTTATTGTTTTATTTGCTCAGTTCTATGCCAATTCTGTGAGTAAAGGCTTAGAAATGACATTCAAAAGCATATTTATTGGATCCCTTTTATCTACCAGTTTCTGGGCTGAAGACTAGGAATACATTGCTGAACGAGATGTTATTGGTCCTCTGGGCTCAGTAGGTGGTGAAAGATCCTGAGGAAAAGTCATGGTGTGCTGTGTTAGATGATGGCTTTTTTTTTTTTTTTAAGATTTTTTATTTATTTATATAAGAGCTGGGGTACAGGCCAGAGGCGCGGGAGGGTGAGAGGATTCACCAGAGACAGAGCAGGGAACAGAACAGGCAGACTGACGAAATACACTGCTGAGGGGAGCAGCGGGCGAGACAGAAGAGGTCTTCTGCACCATGTGGGTTTCTCCCTGGCCAGCCAGGGATCAAACTTGTGCTGCAGAGGCTGCGGACAGCTTCACAGCGCTGCGCTCAACCCGCTGCACCACCGGGGAGGCCCCTAGATGTTGACTAAGACATACCTTGACTCCACATGCCTCCTGCCATGAATGGCACCCTATATTTTAAACATCAAATATTTCATTCTGTCAATATTGTGAGATTGCTTTCCTCTCTTTCCCATCATCTTGAGGGTAAGAATTAGGTTTACTAAGTCTATATTCCTAGCACTTAACACAATTTCTAGTTCAATACATGTTGAATTAATAGAGGCCTATGCTTTATGGGAGCACAGTGAAAAAGAATGGTTGAGAAGAGTTAAAGCTTGTTGGGGGCCACTTCCTAGAGGAGATAACATTGTTTGGAATAAAGACAAGAGATTCTCTATCTTTCAGTTGTTTGTGATTCATCCAAGAATGACACACCTTTTTCTTTTGCAATGTTATTTCTTTTGCCTCAAACACCCTTTCCCACCTTTTCTACCTGGTGAGCTCCTATGTGTCCTTTAAGGATGAGCTCAAATACCTCTTTGCTTTTGTTTGTAGTATTTGTGGGATTTTTGCTTTGGTACATAGGGAAGAGAAAGGAGTTTGTAGTGGAAGAAGGTGGTAAGAGGAGGGGAGAGAAATAGTTCTCTGCAGGTCTAAGAAAAATGGACTTGAATCACTATGCTTAGGCAGGTGGCAGTGAGAATTTACTGAAAACATTAAAAAGTCCCTCTGAGAACATCTGGACACAAGCATGTGTCCAAGTTGATGAGGTGTGTGGCCCAGGAGGCACAAGGAGGCCTTTTGCTCCACTCTGCCTAGAATCTGCACTGATGCTTTGGGAATGCACTGGGCTAGCATCCTTTACATGATGCTGGGGGACTTCATAAGGCTGAGGTCATACATAAGGCTGAGGTCATCCTTTACATGATGCTGGGGGACTTCATAAGGCTGATGCTGGGGGGTGCTGAGGTCCTCTACATCCTTTCTGGTGAGGATAGTGAATCAGCGAACATTTGGGAGTATGTTTATTTACTTGTTTTATCCATTATTCCACCCAGGAGTAATGTCAGTCAACTTTTTGTGTCCCAGAACCTGGCTCAGGGAACTGAGTGTAGGCAAACTATAGAGGATAGAATGTGAAGTGTCTTAAGCAATGTTTTTTTTTTTTTTTTTTTTTTCCCCAGGGGGAAGGTATATTAAGAAATATGGCATTTTTTTTTGTTTCTTTTTTTTTTTTTTAAAGAGTGTAGCAGGGTCTTTTTTTTTTTCTTTAAGATTTATTTATTTATACAAGCACTGGGTACAGTCAGAAGCACGGGAGGGTGAGAGAATTCACCAGAGCCAGAGCGGGGAGCAGAGCAGGCAGAAGGACCGAAGTACACTGCTGAGGGGAGCAGTGGGCGGCAGGAGAGGTCTGCGCGCCATGTGGGACTCTCCTCTGGTGGCCGGGGAGCAGCCAGGGATTGAACCGCACTGCCGAGGCTGCGGGAGGCTTCGCAACCCAGCGCTCAACCGCTGCGCCACCGGGGAGGCCCAGAAATATGGCATATTTTTGAGAAATGGGATGGTATAAAGAAAGCAGTACTTAGATAGGAAAAAGGCAGGAATGAGTTGATTCTGAAAAATAGAGTAAAGTCAGAGAACTAGAATTTTTAACCTAAATCCTGGGTTAGACTGACACAGGCCTGCTTATATGCATTGGGCTGTTTCAGCTCAGCATGAAGCAAGTTAAAAAGGAGGGTAGTGTCTGATTTTGCAAGAAACTTATTTGAAAGGGGATGATAAATAACATCTAAAGAAAGAAGTAGGTTAAAGGATGTTACTCTTTAGGATTACAGAGTCATGAGTACATTTGGAGTAAAGTCAAGCAAAATGAAAGGGAATATTTAAAATAGAGTATTATTTCCGAGGAAGTAGGCAAGGTAGATGGCTTGGGGCACAAATGGAATAGTCTTGGATAGAGGTAGGTTCTTCTTCCTCAAAATGTGAAGAACAATGATACAGATTTGAATATAAAAGTGGGAGAATTTTGAGACATTTCACTTAGGTTGGTCTTAAAGTTGTTCAAAGACAAGTAGCTTTGGTAAAGATAGACATATGAGACACACAAAAACAACCATGGGAACTTATAAGAACACTGATAAGTGATCAATAAATGGGCATGTTAGGGGGAAGTGATGTCCTGAGTTAATCCCATACAGGATTAACTTTGTGGACTCCACCCCCACTCCAGACTAAAGCCATCAAGACTCTGGGAAAGACAAATCCCATCACCACCAAGGGAGGATGGCTGGGACCTGAGGGTGGAGTTGGGCAGCCAGGTTGGATATAAAAAACCAAACACGTGGGCCTTGGGCTCTCTCTGGCTCGCGATCTCTCGCCTCCTGGCTTCAACGCTCCTGGCTGGCGGCCAGCTCTCAGAGCGCCATTTTGGGATTCCTAATCGGCGGATCGGGCAGGACTCATTTAAAACTTTGTCTCCCACTTTTCTCCCAGAGCTGTACATTTCCTCATTTCCCCTTCCCTTTGTAAATAAACCTTTTATTAACCTTTCACGTGTGCCTGCAGTAGAGCATTGATAAGTCCTTTTAAGCGCATGGGTGAGGACTCACAGTCAGGCACCCCGTTTTGTATCGGGGTTGCTCTACAACAGTTTGGCGCCCAGCGTGGTTTCCAAGTTACACCCGCGGTTGACCAGCCCAAAGTAACATTCCTTGCGTTGGTCACCATAAGCGCACTAGTTCTGCAGGACTAGCAGTATAATATTTGTCTCTAGTCCTGAAAAGTCTGTTTTTTCCCTGTGCGTACAGCCCTTGTGGGTGCGTTTTGACTCAAATATGGCCTCAACCATGAGCCTATACAGTTTCATCCCTAGCCTGAGTTCTTTCAGTTTCCTTCCGGCCTTGAATTTGAGTAGTCTTCTTCCATTAAATATCACCACCAGTTTCATTAATATAAATAAT